ACCCTGTGTGAGCGTACTATGTGTCTTTAATCTTGTGACTTTCTTAGATCTGCATTATTCGACTGAAGAGCTTGACTAGGCAGACCAGTATGTGAAACGCTCAACTTTGGTTGTGGGTATTGTCGTGACCGGGTGTTAGAGAGGTGAGATGCATCGGCGGTTACCATACCCGACCACGCAGAACGTGGGTATTGGAAGGGCCCACACCCTTTGTGGGGTTGTGTCGCGCGGATGGAATGCTCAGCAAGGGGCAGATGCCTGCCGGCCCGCCACGGGCATGTTAGGCCTAACCCCAACCTATGTTACCTACGCTACTATTGTGAGATAGAATAGAAGACTAATAAATATGTAACCGATAGTTGTGCCGACTATTGCTACATAACAGAAGACTATTGAATAACTATTCATGTTGACTATACTATACGCAATAGAATAAATGACTATTACATGACTACCAAATAGATGAGAACAATATAGAGAAGGTTAAGGCATGATTAGAACAGCACAACATACCGGTAGGAAAGATGTGACGTGGTAGCATAACGGCCCATTCGGCCGGGATGAGACGATGGAGAGTCCAGCCGCTCAGCAGGAAGACATGACGAAACAACTGAGGACTGGCGGGTCGCGCGGGCTGAGTATAGAGAAGCAGAGTAGCTTCCCGCGCTTCCAGCTTCTTCCATCGTTTGAGCTGTCGGCAGCATCGTTTGAATTGCTGGATACGGTACGATGACGAATGGAGCATGATATTGTTACGGCGCATACCACGGACGCTTCCAGGTCGTACGCAAGTCACGACATAGCCAGCGATCCGACTGGTACGTTCATAACCTACACGGGAATAGTGCAGCCATAGCCGCTGAAGCAGCCTATAATTCATGCATTCTGTCCTCCTAAAGCGTCTTGCTTTGGAATGCACTCCCGCATTCAGCAGTGGAACCCTTTAAATGGCCCTCACTAAGGTTGTTGATGGAAGATAATTGTGGTAAGAGTGATTAAGTCAATTGCTGCTGTTCATAACATCTCTGTAAACAAACCCCATGCATTTGGAATAGAGCTAGCTTAGCGGTCGTACATGATGTCGTTACTAATAAGCAGTGAGGAATGAGTTCTGTTGGAATCACTGAGATCGTTATACTTGAGTCATATCGATCGCATTGTTGTTGTGAGCGGTGAAGCGGATTCCCATGTTACCTTGTCACTTTTAGCTCCTATCACTTCCGTACCCGCCAATAATATTCCCGTCCCGTATCACTATCATATCACCCTATATCGCCTCTCGGATCCGAGGTCCCACTGTTGCCTGCGTTACAAATTTGATGACCCTTCCCTTCCGTGGCCGCTTAGAGTATTTTATCAGCTTTATTACTTTCTATCGCCCGCCAATAAGGTTCCCGTCCCACACCTCACGTATCTGAGGTCCCACTGTTGCTGTGACCTGCGTTACGAATTTGATGACCCTCCCCTTCCGAGGCCCCT